TGTGAAGATGTCAGTGCTACCTAGAGCAATATACACATTTAATGCAATCCCTATCAAAATACCATTCACTTTTTTCAAAGAAATGGAACAAATAATCCTAAAATTTGTATGGAACAAGAAAAGACCCCGAATAGCCAGAGGAATGTTGAAAAAGAAAAGCAAAACTGGCGGCATCACAATTCCAGACTTCAAGCTCTATTACAAAGCTGTGATCATCAAGACAGTATGGTACTGGCACAAAAACAGACACATAGATCAGTGGAACAGAACAGAGAGCCCAGAAATGGACCCTGAACTCTGTGGTCAACTAATCTTCTACAAAGCAGGAAACAATGTCCAGTGGAAAAAAGACAGTCTCTTCAACAAATGGTGTTGGGAAAATTGGACAGCCACATGCAGAAGAATGAAACTGGACCATTTCCTTACACCACACACAAAAATAGACTCAAAATGGTTGAAAGACCTCAAAGTCCTAAAGGAGAACACAGGCAGCAACCTCTTCGACCTCAGCCACAGCAACTTCTTCCTAGAAACATCGCCAAAGGCAAGGAAAGCAAGGGCAAAAATGAACTATTGGGACTTCATCAAGATAAAAAGCTTTTGCACAGCCAAAGAAACAGTCAACAAAATCAAAAGACAACCAACAGAATGGGAGAAGATATTTGCAAATGACATATCAGATAAAGGGCTAGTATCCAAAATCTATAAAGAACTTATCGAACTCAACACCCAAAGAACCAATAATCCAATCAAGAAATGGGCAGAAGACACAAACAGACATTTTTCCAAAGAAGACATCCAAATGGCCAACAGACACATGAAAAAGTGCTCAACATCGCTCGGCATCAGGGAAATCCAAATCAAAACCTCAATGAGATACCACCTCACACCAGTCAGAATGGCTAAAATTAACAAGTCAGGAAACGACAGGTGTTGGTGGGGATGCGGAGAAAGGGGAACCCTCCTACACTGTTGGTGGGAATGCAAGCTGGTGCAGCCACTCTGGAAAACTGTATGGAGGTTCCTCAAAAAGTTGAAAATAGAGCTACCATATGATCCAGCAATTGCACTACTGGGTATTTACCCCAAAGATACAAATGTAGAGATCCTAAGGGGTACGTGCTCCCCAATGTTCACAGCAGCAATGTCCACAATAGTCAAACTTTGGAAAGAGCCAAGGTGTCCATCAACAGATGAATGGATAAAGAAGATGTGGTATATATATATATATATATATATATATATATATACACACAATGGAATATTATGCAGCCATCAAAAGGAATGAAATCTTGCCATTTGCAATGACGTGGGTGGAACTGGAGGGTATTACGCTGAGCGAAATAAGTCAATCAGAGAAAGACGTGTATCATATGACCTCACTGATATGAGGAATTCTTAATCTCAGGAAACAAACAGAGGGTTGGTGGAATGGTGGGGGGTAGGAGGGATGGGGTGGCTGGCTGATAGACATTGGGGAGGGTATGTGCTATGGTGAACACTGTGAATTGTATAAGACTGTTCCTGTACCTCTGAAACAAATAATACATTATATGTTAAAAAAAAAAAAGAAGATAGTAAGGGTAAAATGAAGGGGGGGAATCCGAGGGGGAGACAAACCGTGAGAGACTATGGACACTGAGAAACAAACTGAGGGTTCTAGAGGGGACGGGGGTGGGGGGATGGGTGAGCCTGGTGATGGGTATTAAAGAGGGCACGTTCTGCATGGAGCACTGGGTGTTATACGCAAACAATGAATCATGGAACACTACATCAAAAACTAATGATGTAACATGGAGATTAACATAACATAATAAAATTTTTAAAAAAAGGAGCAGCACAAAGGAGATCCTTATAGCTAGAATTGCTCTGTGTATTGGGCTGGTTCTTAGTCGAATGCACACATGTGATACAGCACAGTGCTATACACGCACATTGTACTCATGTCAGTTTCCTGGTTTTGAGCTTGTATCAGTTATGTGAGGCATTAATCATTGGGGGAAACTGGGTGGTGGGCACATGGGATTTCTCTGCTATCTTTGCAAATTCCTAGGAATCTATAATTGTTTCAAAATGAAAAGAAAAAAGATAAGTAAATACAACTTATTTAACTTTTCCTCCGTGCCAACTTGATTTCCTTTTATTGACTCAAATGGTATAAAAACACAAAATCTACATTGTAGTCAATTTTTTAAAAAAAGACATAGTAATAAGAGAATATTCATTCAAGCTTTGGATTGAGGCAAAGATAATCAGAATAATTCAATTTAGTCCATTAGCAAATTCATAGCTATGAAGAATGTTCAGGCCTTTTACAAGACAGAATACAGAGAAATTCTAGGCTAACTATTTTAAAATTTTCTTACACTTTCAAATGATCTCTGCTTTCACGATTGCTTAAACTTTAAAAGGACTAAATTCTAGAGTATTACCTCTGATCTACAATTGATGTAGGTCATCACTGAACATTGTTAGAATTATTTGGATTCCAGAGAATGCATGTGAATTAAAAATGTATGGGACGATAAATATATTAAATTTATGATATGATCCCTAGAAATTAAGCAAAAATTAATTTTAGAATGTCAACATCTATTGAAAACTTCCCATGTGTTACCATATTTAATTTCACTGTACTGAAACTGTGGCGTGGAGAGGTTAACTTGCTCAAATTTATATGTATCAAGCCATTAGTTTTGCATAATTGAAGAAAAAGGTTATGAAGAGTCTCTAAAATGAGACTATCTAAACTAGTTTATTGTTATAGCCATAAAATTCTGGTGTTGGGTTTCTGAACCCAGGCAGGCTGATTCTAGAGCTTGCTCTCTTAATCACTCTACAGTATTACTTCTTTTAAGAATCCTATATAGAAGTACTTTTTTCCCCCTGAATTTCAGTTTCCAAACAATTGCTTCTCACATTTAGAAGTCAGGATTGCTACTTAGTTTCTATGGTGATGTGTAGATTTTCTGAATATTGCCACGTTTTTGTTTTGCTGCTGGGAGTTTGCATCATTCATTCATCTATTTATTCATTTCATTCCATTTTTTACCATTTTATTCAATTCCTTAATGGTTGGGGTCAGGAAAGAGGCAGCCTGAGACAGGAAAGTGATGGTTATGGAAGGGGAAAATGTAGAATTGAGATTCTCCTTTGGCCTGAGACTAAGGTCAGTGACAAATGAAACAATGAAATACTCAGCAAAAAGTATGAAGAAACCTATGTGAATTTTATTTTGCAAATTGAAGATACACCCAGAACTTTTGATTGAAAAGTCACAGTAAGTTCATGTTTCTTACAGTGAGAGATTGTAAAGTGACTAGCCCTGTTGCTTTGGGACATTTAATGTATGGTTTTTTTGTACCTTCTTGTAAGTAAGCAACTGGCCGTTCTCTACCATAATTGAAAAAAATTAGGTTATGAGGAGTCAACATAAAGTGAACCTATAATAGATTCATATATTATCTTTAAGGCAGAAATGTAGATACACAATTTATCATTACAGGCTGCTATTTTGGAATTGAGTGATCAAGATATTCATTAGCTCAGGTGAGTTAATGGAATTCATTCAAGGTCCATAGGCAGAACACACATCAGTGAAAGAGGATTTTGAGCATATATTTACTCTTAGACTCAGTCTACCGTAGTTCTTCCAACTGTTTCAGTATAGCTTTAATACCATAGATGACATTCATCTTTTCATGGAATTTATTTTGAATACCGTAATATGAAAATTAATAGGTGTTCAAAATTCTGTTCCTTGTCTTCCTTAAGAACACAGATAAATTACTGTGTTTTTGTTTTTGTGGCATATTTTGCAACTTAAATTTCATAGCATTGGATGTATTTCCAAGGTGCCCTTTGATTTATTTTTTTTAAATGTTAATAGTACTTTTTATCTCCTATTTTCAAAACTGATCAGCCCAGCAACACCTGGGTATAATGATGCTGTTTGTGATTTTCCAGGAACCACGTAAGTGAATTCCCAGTCTAGACATGAGTTTCAGGTCATTTTTGCTGACTGCTGCCTCTCCATAGCACCCTACGGTACCTGTCACTGGAGACCCCGGAGAAGTGACAGGGTGTTGTCTCAGGAGCATGTGCTGTGGTGTGCAATCTGTCGGGGAACATGAGGATTTGAAATCCACCAAACACCAGGCATCGCTCTTGCTTTAATTACAAGTGTTCTGTGTGTATTTATATCCATGTATGGCTTCTTTCTTGGGTTGTAAGTACAGATCCTTAAGAATTCTGGTGGTGCATTTCCTAAGGTTTTCACTTTATTTAATAATTCAATAAATTGATAAATTAAATAACTTATTTAATAAATATTTATTTAATAATTCCAAACAAATGTTGAAAAGTCTAAAATAGCCAATTAATTCTGCCTTTCCTTGTCCTGTTCAGGACGCAGCATCATTCAAAGAGTGGTGCTCTTTGTTGTTTTCTCTATAATACAGTAGTTTCTTTTTTTTTTTTTTTTAAAGATTTTATTTATTTGAGACAGAGAGAATGAGAGAGAGCACATGAGAGGGGGGAGGGGCAGAGGAGAAGCAGACTCCCTGCCGAGCAGGGAGCCCGATGCGGGACTCGATCCAGGGACTCCAGGATCATGACCTGAGCCGAAGGCAGTCGCTTAACCAACTGAGCCACCCAGGCGCCCTATAATACAGTAGTTTCTTAACCATTTCTCGCATCTTAGATTTTTTTTTATGATTTGATAAAGCTGCCTTCAAAATTCCCATTCTCTCCCAAGCTCGCTCTCTCTTTCTACACACACACACACACACACACACACACACACAAGCATTAACACACATGCGCATGGATACACGTACATACACAAAGTTTTGCATTCAATTTCAGGTGTTTCATAAGCCCTCTGAATTGCAGGTTTAGTATTTCTGTATTGAGAACCTAGAATTTTTGTTGTTGAAAGTGACATGCTCCCCACTTGCATTATTATTAACAGCATTCTGTCTTCCCCATGTTACTGTTAGCAGTCCCTGAGCAGCAGAGAGACGAGCTTTCTCATCAGTGAAGAACCAGCGGTAAGCAGCCATCAGCACTGTACTTTCCTGCACGGACACAAATGGGGTATTATTTTGTAGTCAGAGAGGGTGATGCTCTCTTTCCCAGGTCAGTTGTTTTTCACATCCTTATACGTGATAGTCGAGAATTTATTACTTTGGAAAAAAATCAGTTTCTTATGGGGAAAAAAGTAACAACAAACATATTAACGAGAAGTACACAGAAAGTATAACTATTTGCTTGCATTTTAATTTCTCAGTTTTACAAATGAGAAAAAAATGAAGGGTCTGAGAGGTTTAATGACTTCACCAAAATTAACCAGACGTTGAAGAGGCAGATCCTGGAGTAGAACTCGCATTTCTGAATTGTGGTTTAGTATTCTTTCTTCATCTCTTCAATCCTTTTACCTGTTAAGTACATGCCTAAGAATAATCATGAAGTACAGTTTATTTAAAAATCAAATTTGAATATCAATTAAGAGGTTAGTAAAGGGATTTAAAATTTTTCACTTATTGTTTAGTAAAAAAAATGATGCTAGAAATAGAGTTATATTCTTATACTGACAATTTTAATGGGTGATGTTTTGCTTTCTGTTAGCATACTGATCTATAATGTTCCAGAATGAAGGATGTGGGGTTCATCAAATTATAATTGAAACTTTGTTGGTTCTTTTTTTTTTTTTGATCATGTAAAACATTTATATGATTCCAAAGTTGAAAGCCATAGATCAAATAAAGTTTAATGGAGCCTAAAGCTTATGCTATTTTAGTATCACTCTTTAAGAAGAATAATGGAACAATAATTTACTTTAAAAAAATTTACAAAATATTTAACCATGAGAACATATTGTTAGAGTGTCCTTCTAAATCCTTGGAGGGGCTGATGCAAGCAAGAAGCCCTGAAGCTTTGTCTTTATTAGCTTGAAGGTAGATCTATCTGAGGATGAAACTATGAAATGAAACATTTTCCAAGAAAATTTTCTTGTTTTTCCTCTTAATCCTCTGTAGTGATCATTTTTACTTGGTTTATCCTTTTATCCTGTTAACGTATCCCTTAACAGTACATAAAATTTCTTACACCCCAAACTCGAGTATGGGGGGTGTGTGTGTGTGTGTGTGTATACATACATATGTATATTTATATTCCTCCTGCCTCTTACACTATACTGTATGTACTGGTCTGTTCCTTGGTTTTTACTTAACATAACCCGAGTTCATGCAATATTGTATATAGATTTCATTCCTATTCATTTGTATGTTGCATAATATTACATTGTGGAGGTTTAGCATGGTGTATTCATTCAGTTCCTTTATTGATGCACATTTGAGTTGTTTTTAATCTTTTGTTATTACAAATATTATAATAAATACCCTTGGGAGTCAGTCTTAATAATATTTTGGCCAGTGTTAAATAAGATTTCTGTATAAAAGAATAAACATATATGTAATTTTGCCACATATTGCCAAATTCCCCTCTGTTTTGCATTTCTAACAAGTGTACAAGAATGCCTATATGCCCACAGCCTCATCAATAGCATGTTGTCAGGAGTTTAGATTTTTGCCTATCTGAGGTGAGATAACTAGTGGCTGTTGGGAGCTCCATCAGTTAGCTGTATCTTAGTGTGGTTTAAATTTGCCTTTCTCTCAATATGAGTGGGACATTCATCTTTTCCTATGTTGATGGTCATTTTAATTTATTTTTCTGGATAACTCTGTTCATTTATTTTGTCTATTTTCCTGTCAAACTGTTAGGTATTTCTTTTTTCTCTTGATTTTTTTTGGAGCTGTTTACATATTTATTGTTATCTCCCTGCCTGTTATATGAGTTGTAAGTAATTTCCCCATTATGTCAAATGCTCATAATTAAAATTCTAGATTCCAGATGATTTGAAAATGATTTATGATAGTTCATTTTTTATGATGACAGTGTCTTTGGTTAAACAGTAAGCTGTGAAAATTAAATAGTAAGCTTCTTTTTCAAATAAACTTTTTATTTGAGTATAGTTTTAGATTTACGATTTATTATAAGTACAGTACATAAAATTTCTTATACCCCATTTCCATTTTCCCCTGTTATTAACATCTTGCATTAGTATGGTAAAATTAATGAACTAATATTGATACATTATTATTAACTGAAGCCCATACTTTATTTGGATTTCCTTAGTTTTTCCCTAATGTCCTTTTTATATTTCAGGATCCCATCTAGGATATTACATTGCATTTATTTATTTTTAAGTTTTTATTTTAATTCTAGTAGAGTTAACATACAGTGTTATATTAATTTCAGGTGTATAGTATAGTGATTCAGCACTTCCATACATCACCCGGTGCTCATCACGACAAGCACACTCCTTAATCCCCAGCAGCTATTTCACCCATCCCTCCACCTCCTCCCCTCGGTGACCATCCGTTTGTTCTCTGTAGTTAAGAATCCAATTCTTGGTTTGTTTGTTTTGTTTCTTAAATTCCATGTATGAGTGAGATCATATATATTTGTCTTTCTCTGACTGACTTACTTTGCTTAGCATTATACTCTGTAGCTCCATTCAGGTCATTGCCAAATGGCACAATTTCATTCTTTTTTTATGGCTGAATAATATTCCAGTGTGTATATATGCTACATCTTCTTTATCCATTCATCAATTGATGGGCACTTAAGCTGCTTCTGTTATCTTGGCTATTGTAAATAATGCTGCTATAAAAATAGGGTGCCATGTATCCCTTTGAATTAGTGTTTTTCTATTCTTTGGGGAAATACTTAGTAGTGTGATTACTGGATGGTAGGGTAGTTCTATTTTTAACTTCTTGAGGAACCTCCATACTATTTTCTGCAGCGGCTGTACCAGTTTGCATTCCCACCAACAGGGCATGAGGGTTCTTTTTTTCTCCACATCCTCCCCAACACCTGCTGTTTCTTGTGTTGTTGATTTTAGCCATTCTGACAGGTGTGAGATGATACCTCGTTGTAGTTTTGATTTGCATTTCCCTGATAGTAAGTGATGATGAACATCTTTTCATGTGTCTGTTGGCCATCTGGATGTCTTCTTTGGAGAAGTGTTTGTTCATGTTTTCTGCCCATTTTTAATTAAATATCTGTTTTTTGAGTTGTTTCAGTTTTGTTTTGTTTCTTAAAGATTTTATTTATTTGTTTGACAGAGAGAGACACAGCGAGAGAGGGAACACAAGCAGGGGGAGTGGGAGAGGGAGAAGCAGGCTTCCCGCTGAGCAGGGAGCCCGATGCATTATTTATACATTACATACAATGAGATGCACTATTTTAAGTGTATGGTTTGATGAGTTTTAATAAACCACAAAAATCAAAATACAGATTTCTCTTACCTCAAAGTGTCCTTTTGCTGTTTCACCTCTGCTCTAGACACAATGATTTGGTTTTTTGTTTCTAGAGTGGTATGTGAATAGAATCAGACTCTATATACTATTTTGTGTCTGGCTTCTTTTGTTCAGCATAATGTTGCTGAGGTGTATCCAGAACTTCAAATGATACTGATAAATTGTATCTTATTGAACATATCTGTAGCTTTTTATTCAATTTATTTTGTTTTATTGATAAATAGTATTTCATTGTAAGGATATGCCAAAATTTTGGTATAGAACAACTAGAACTCTCATACGTTACTGGTAGGAAAGAAAAATGGCAGAACCACTTTTACAAAGAGTTCAGCAATTTCTATAAATTTATACATATTCTTTCATAAGGTCCAGAAGTTTTACTCCTAAGAAATTAACCAAGATTAATTAAAATATATGTCTATACAAATTATGTATGTCGTACATGAATGTTCATAACAGCTTCATTTATAATGGTCCCCAAATTGAAAACAATATGAATATCCATCAACAGGTGAATGAGGGGGCAGCTGGGTGAATGAGGGGGCAGTGGGGACTCTGCTTGGGATTCCCCCTCTCCCTCTCCCTCTGCCCCTCCCCTGCTTGTGCTCCCTTTCTCTCTCAAATAAATAAATAAATGAATAAAATCTTAAAAAAAAAGGGAGTGTCTACTTCTTGGTGAAACTGATTGAGGAATTCAGACATTGAAATTTTGATTTTTCTTGCCATGTAAGACTGGAGTCTTTTGTCCTTTTCCTAACATTCTTCTCATAAATTGGATTCTCTTTTTATGTGCAAGCATCCATTTCCTTAAATTTTTTGCTACATGGTTAATTGTTCCTCTGTGATTTTTATGTGCTGGTCTTCAAGGAACAGTCTTAAAGCTTGGTGTTTCACTGTACATTCTTAAGGTCCATTGCAAGTATTTGCAAATATTTCTGTGTCTAATTAATCCATCTAATACTTCAAACTAGAAAAATAGAAAGGAAATTCCACATGGCTTTTATTGTATATTTTGAAGCTACAGTTTAAGCACAGGAATATGTAGACCACAGAGGCTGGGAATATGAAATGCACTCAAAGCAATCTTCAAGGAAATTAAACATATACTGTCAAAGCAAAGTGTGTTGCTGAATCCACAAGTGTCAGCATGTCCAGACATGGTCACACATAACTGGGGATTCTCCAAATTAACATCCATTTACTAAATTGAAACTTACATATACAATATTAAAACTCATCAGAAACTTAGCAATTGTTTAGGATTTAGATATATTTTTCAAGAAGGAATATTTTACCAATTTCATAAGAATTTGCTAGTAGTTGACTTTTTGTTGTTTTTATTATTTTATTGGGTGAACACCAAGGGTGCAAGCCTTTTGTGTACCTAGCTGGTTATATGTCTTTATTACTGATAATTTGCTGATAATTAATAAGAATCTACCTGATAACATTAAATATACAGAGTACCCAGTGTTTGGCACAAAGAAATTAAGATTTGGTAGCTACTGTTTAATTACTGTGGTTTTGTTTAAATTTAGAACTTGTGTAGGGTCCACTCAGTAAGTGGGTTTTATAGTTTGTAGATTGAGTATCTACATCCTTATCATCAAGGATTAATGTAGATTTAAATGTGAAATCGAAGTCTCAAGAGCAACTGGACTTTTTCTTGCTGAGAAAGTCAGAGCATTGAATGGCTTGTTGTATTACAACTCCATGAATTATATTGATTTTCATTCACTTACAGTATACGTTCCAGAATTGTCTATGGTACTGGACTTTCATGCCTTGCCTCATCTGTTGCCAATGATCTAGTAGCTGAGACAGCAATCTCTCAAGTGCTTCCTGCTAGACCACGCTGAGTAGTGCCTGTGTTGGTGGTAGCTGGGCTATTGACATTCAAAAATGGCCAAGGAAGGGTGTGAGAAAAAAGAAATACATAGAGAAAGAGGAATGCAATGCAGATGAGTGATCAAGATTATATATAATGAGAGAAAGATACTATTAACAACTCCTACTATGTGGCACCAGTAATACAGGTTATCAACTCTATTCCTAGAGAAAGGACTCTAAAGTGTCTTCTTACAAATAAGTTAGATTAAATTTAATGAATTGAAATTACATAGAGAAAACTTCTTATGAAAAGTTTATAATATATGTATGTAATATATGTAATATATAATATATGTAATAATATAATATATGAAAATTTATTTTAATATTATGGTAATATTATGAAAAAGGCAAGAAAAATGTGTATGTTAAATATAATGATTTACTATATTAAAAAATTCAGTGCTTAGAGAAAGCCAGAAATAAATACATCAAATAGTTACTAAGGTAACAAGGAAATAGCAATGATTTTAAAAATACCTTTTCATTAGTTTCAGTGTTACCCATTTTTTTTTTTAAAGATTTTATTTATTTATTTGAGAGAGAGAGCACATGAGAGGGGGAGGGTCAGAGGGCGAAGCAGACTCCCTGCTGAGCAGGGAGCCCGATGTGGGACTCGATCCTGGGACTCCAGGATCATGACCTGAGCCGAAGGCAGTCGCTTAACCAACTGAGCCACCCAGGCGCCCCAGTGTTACCCATTTTTTAATAAAAAAGCAAATATAATTTAGCACATGATGGAAATATGTAATAAAGTTATTAATTCAGTAATTTTTATCTCTAGATCGTAATTTTATCTTTTGTAGTCAAGTCCTTTGGTGGTGATCTTATAATATATTTAAAATCAAGTTTAAAAAATATTAACTGTTGAGTCAGTATGCTTTCAGACCAACTGCTGGTATTGATCCCATTGGTTTTTATATTGTGAAGATATCGTATGTATTGGAAAACTGCAGACTAACCTGGTATTAGATGTATTTATTGCAGAAGGCTTTTTAGGAATCATCTAGCTAACTTTTTAAACCCTGCACTCTTAGCAGCTCTTAAATGTATGATACTTAGTTAATTCACAACCATAGGGCCAACTTAAGACTTTATTTATTTATTTGAGAGAGAGAGAGCACACACAAGCAGGGGAATGGGGCAGAGGGAGAGGGAGAAGCAGACTCCCCACTGAGAAGGAAGCCTGACATGGGACTTGATCCTAGGACTCTGAGACCAGGGCCTGAGCTGAAGGCAGACGCTTAACAAACTGAGCCATCTAGGCACCCCATGGGCCAACTTATTCTATAGGCACAGTGGGTACTGTGCCTACTAGGCCCACGACACTTTTTGGAGTCCATGGAAAAGTTTTAATTTTAATTTCTTCAAAAATCAGAATTAAAGAAACAAAAAAACCCCCATAAATATAATTGTGTATATGAATATATATATACACACACACACACGTATATTCATTTATTTCTTTTTATTTTTAAAAATTTTTAAAAGAGTTTATTTATTTATTTGTCAGAGAGAAAGAGAGCAAGCACAAGCAGGGGGAGCAGAAGAGGGAGAGGGAGAAGCAGGCTCCCCACTGAACAGGGAACCCAATGCAGGGCTGGATCCTAGGACTCCAAGGTCGTACCTGAGCCAAAGACAGATTCTTAGCCAGTTGAGCCACCCAGGCTCCCCTCATTTATTTCTTTTTAAATTGAAAAAAAAATTTTTTTAATGGTGGAAGGAGCCCACAGAAAGCAAATAAGCCAGACAGAGCCCATGAAAGTTATAATGTGTTCCTGCATGACTTCTTAGTGCATAACTTTTTCCTTTCCTTTAATAATTCTATAACGAATTTAGGAAAAACATCTGAGAATAACAGAACTTGTGGATCTCATGAAAGATCCTAAGAAAATTAAAGTGCTAAGATGAAAAATGTCAGTCCAGCAGAAAAATGCAGTTTAAAATATGCTTTATGCTGGATACCTGGGTGGCTCAGGTCATGATCCCAGGGTCCTGGGATCGAGTCCCCGCATTGGGCTCCTTGCTCAGCGGGGAGCCTGCTTCTCCCTCTGCCTGCTGCTCCCCCTGCTTGTGCATCCTCTCTCTCTCTTTCTCTGACAAATAAGTAAATAAAATCTTTAAAAAATAAAAAAATAAAAGGATTTAGAAATAATAATAAAATAAAATAAAATATGCTTCATGCAGTCACCAGCATCCATCTTGTGTCTCTTGTGTTCTTAATCAACAGCAGTATTAACTCGACTATACATAGTTGGTCCTTGGTTTATATAGAGCAGCGAGGTTTCACTCCAGTACTCACCTCTGCTTAGATCTCTAGCTTATTTTAAGAAAACAACAGTTTCAGCAAAACTTTTTCCATGACAAGGACTAAAACTTTTTATTGACAGTTTTATTAGAGTATTTATATTCCATTATATTATAAAATACACACAGCACTTGCCTTTGTGTGTCCTTGTTTGATTTTCTTTCAAATATTATTGATTTTCCCAGATGTTTTAGGTCATTGCCTTGGTGTTTTAAAAATAACGGTCGTAGTGACTAAAGATTGAAGACAACTCAGCATTTAAATAACCAAATGTCTTTCCCTTTCTCTACCCCAGTATTTTGGGAGGCTATGAAATATTTTATGCTATTAGGTGAACTTTCCATACCATACAGTATAATTGTAGTGATTTTACTTTCTTTGCCTGATACATATGGGCATACTTAATATTTTACTTTATTTTCCATTCTTCTCATGTTTTTCTTCATTATTTTTTTCTCTCTCCTTTCTTCCTTAATTCAGTTCTACAAATACATGTTATTTAAAGTTACTGTATAAAGAACTTAGGGAAATTCACTTTGAAGTCTCATTTTCCCCCCTTTTCTTTATTCTTTATTGTTTTCTTCCTACATTTGTTCTTCTTTCCCTCTTACTAGCTTCTCCCACCCTCCAACTTTATTTTTTTTTAATTTTTTAATTTAAATTCAATTAGCCAACATATAGTACATCATTAGCTTCAGATGTAATGTTCAATAATTTATCAGTTGTGTACAATACCCAGTGCTCATCACATCGTGTGCCCTCCTTAATCCCACCTGCCAGCTTTAAATGCCACACACACACACACACACACACACACACACACGTGTACCTGAGTGATCATACTGAAGGTTTGTGTATTTGCATGCCTGTGTTTGGGAATCTTTAATGTCAGGCAGGATTTGCTAACTTTCTGTTGATTGTTTCACAGTCTGCAAAGCGATTCAATTTGTTCCTGAGACGACGTCTTATGGTAAAACAAGTGCTGAATGATGCTGCTTATGCTTTGGATGGCTGCAGTAATAGCCCCAGTCACTTTTATTCCAATGTATACCGTGATTTGGGGGGACTTTGTCACTGATTCCCAGTCCCCAGGCAATTGAGATTTTAGAATGGTGATTCTTAATTGTTTCTGGATCTGATTAGAATTGTGGACCCTCTTTCTAAAAAATGTATATGTGTGTCTATTCATATACATATAATTTATGTATATATTATATATAATATTTATATTTGGTGTGTATACATATTTATATGTATCATATATACTAATATATACTATAATATATATATTTGGTATATATAGTATATATATTTATATTTGGTATCTACATATGTATACACACACACATATATATATTACGTACATATACACATACATACACACAATTTGCCTACAGTTTTAGAAGTTTATGAGCTTCCAATAGGGATCCTAGACTATGAACCTTAGAACAACTACCTCATTCAAAGAAAAGCCACCCAGATGTTTGCTTCATTATAAATTGTCATTTCTAAGAACAAATCAAATATAAACACAGACACATACACACATTGCAAAATATTATCTTACTGTCATGTCTTGGGCAAAACAGAAGAATGATGTTTTTTAATAGCCTTCAGTTTTATGTAACAAAATTATCAGGCTTTTCTCCCCTAGTTTGCTTCAACCAGTTTTTTGTTAACAGTACTAAGACATGTGCCTCTTGGTGATCAACAAGGTTACCAGTGATTTCTCCATAGTTTTAAACATTTTACTGTCAATATTAGGGCATGACATCATGATGGAAGTTTGGGTTTTCCTAGGTAGCATTTGGCTTTCAGAAGGGAAGTATATATACCCATTTTGACTGAACACTCAGAAAAATTAGAGTCACTATTCATCTAGTTACTTTGTTTATTCCCTAATAGTCAAATACTCTGAGTGTGATTTTTGTTGATTTCTACGTTTACGTCCTCTGTTGTCAGAACTTCTCTGTGGACCTAGATTTAGCTTGCCAAACAATAAAAACATTTGTAAATATATATTGTTTTAAAAATAATCTCTACCACGCAAATTTCGGCTGTCACAAACTAAGAACAAAAGAATTATTGGTTTCTTTTTTCACCTAATTTTTTGCTTTGATTATATTTAGTCCAATTAGTCCTTTTTTTTTTTTTTTTCCCCCTGCCCCAGTTTGGCTTCCATGAGTTTTGGTGGATTTCATAAAATGTTTTAATATTATGATGATTTACAAGAGCTCAAATGATTTTTTTTGTTTTGATTGCTTTTCCTTTCTGTAGTGATTTATATAAATCAAGAGGTAACATGATAACAGTAAGTTTTCTCAGATTCTTTTACTTACTTTTAGGATAATGGAGATGATTATGCATCTTTTGTTAGGGTGCAGAGAACTCAGACATAACATTTGAATTACTGTATTTTGATATTGACTCTCTAGACTCCCTGGATGTATCTTGTTTCTTTATTTTCCCACTCATTTCCTCCTGTGCATTGGGAGCTAGTTCTTCCCAAGACACATCAGCTCTGCCTTCACTTAGATAAAATACAGTTACTTTGTTCAAAGACCAGGTCAGACATGAAATTTTTGTCTTATACATGACTGATCTATATCCATTCCTTTTTAGGGAAGGTCTCCCTGGCCTGCCTTGGGTGAAAAACAACATAGAATACCATAACAGAAACTCATAAACTAACATAAATACCAGTTATGAAAAATAAAAAAACACCCAGTTCTCCATTCACCGGTTAGCTGAAGCAATTGGAAAATTGCCTATGTTAAGTTATAACTGCATCACAGGGTGAGAGAGATCACTGACATCTACTGCATCATCTGTTTGCCATCATTCTAAGTATTACATGTGGGCTATTCCAAATATTACATATTATGTATTATATATTATAAATAAACTGTGGGGAAGGCCAAATCAGTCAAACATGAGATCTCTTCTTTTGAAGCTCTCTAGTGTTTTTGTGGTTTTGAAAGGGAAGGAATTGATGAGCCATACAACAAGGGAACATTGAATTTGTCAGTTTGACTGTTATACTGAGAGAATTGATAACACAGATTCTAAACAAAGGATGGATTCTGGCTGACTTAGGGACTGGTGTTGAAAGGAGATCTGCATGAGCATTTACTTGTAGTAAAACCAGCTGGCAAGCTACCTGCTTTCTCATTTTTAACTGCACCTTGATTTTATTTTAACCCTTCCAAAGTTGAATTAGAAAGTGGCAATTTTATGAAAACAGTATAAGCATGAGTCATCAATTAATTTCCTTAGAGTGAGATGCATTAATTGGTCTATAATTACATCCCCAAAGTAGTGTGTGAACATGAATTATCTGTTGGACTAATTGGTATGTTCTTTAATGAAGTAACAAGTCTCCCTCTGAATATGCGTTTTGGGATCAATGTATACATATGTTCATTTTACATTTTGGTATAATTGCATCATTTTTGTTGTGTGTGCATGTAGTTAAATGCTTAGCTTCATCTTGGGTCTTTCTTGTATATATATCTCCTTTATGGGATTTCACTTTCTAAAACAAACATAATTTGTTGATAAAAACTCTGGTGATTTGTCTTCACCTGCCATTTCAGGACTGAGAAAAAAAATTAGACCAAATTTTAGCTAATTCTTTTCATGTTTTTGCCATTTGAAAATAAAACTGTGAAAGCTGTGTCATTCATTTCTCCTGCAGTTTAAAAAAGATGAACAAAGCAAAGATTCTATCTTCTTCCGAGATGGGATTAGGCAAATTGATTTTGTGCTCTCGTATGTTGATGACATAAAGAAAGAAGCGGAATTAAAGGCGGTAAGTACTTAGGTGACAGAAATGGAATCATTAAAAGAAGCAATTTCTATAGTTCAACAGGGTTGTTCCCATGGAATTTATATTGTAAAAGTCAGAGGCCTCTCAGATGTTACTGAAAGCTGAGACTGGGTGAGAATATCTAAGAATGGTTTGGATGTGTAAAGTCAATTTGTGTTTTTGGACTATTTTGAACTCTACCTTCTTTATCTTCTTCCAAGTGACTGGCATATTTTTTATGTAGCTCCACAACATTAAATGTGACCTCCAAAATTTGAGGTGTATGTCTGAATATAATATTTATTTTTTGTAGGCAGTTTTCATTTTGAAAATGTATGGCTAAGCCATACTGTCTGAAATAGCCTTCACACAATGCTCTGTTCCTTATCCTGTTTTCTTTTCATTATAACACATCACTTTCTGACTTATATATATTCACTGTTTAACTTGTTTGCTCTGTCCAACACCATAAATTAGTTTCATGAGACCAAGGACTTTGTCTTGTTCACTGCTGTATACCCAGATGCCTAAAACAGCAGTGGCAGTATCGTGGATGCTCAATAAATATTGGATATTTGAAATAGTGAATTAATAAATGAATCCATACATGTAAGCATGTACACACATTTACTAACATACTTACATGGGAAATAAATATCATATAAAATAAAAATAAAAAACAATGGATATTATCCCATAAGACCCTATTCCTTTTTTCCACCCTTTTTCCCTGGGAGCCCTTCCATCAGGCCCCTGAAACCCACCCACTATTATTTTCCTTTCCTCTGAATGTCCCCCCGAAACTGGGGTCTTCATTGAGGTTCATTGCCTTCTCCAAGTCTCTCAGGTGGTGGTTGATTTTCACTCATAGGACCTTTTTCTGGTAAATGGCTGCCCTTTTCCCATCTAATTGTTGATTACAGTCTGTTCTTCCTACCTCATCTCTAAAATTCTCCAAGCTTTAACTCCGATCAGATTAATCATTGCCCTGCTTTGCTGCTGTCATTAATTTTTCCCTGGGTCTTCCGTTTTATTTCTCAACAGTTTGAGCTCCTGGTTCACTCTCATTCTCTCCATCAATGTTCCTTCTTAAGTCATTGATTATTACAATGCATATACAGATAACTATTACTTAATATTATTTTATTATGTTAATCACCATACATTACATCATTAGTTTTTGCTGTAGTGTTCCATGATTCCTTGTTTGCATATAACACCCAGTGCTCCATGCAGAACGTGCCCTCTTTAATACCCATTACCAGGCTAACCCATTCCCCCACCCCCTCCCCTCTAGAACCTTCAGTCTGTTTCTCAGAGTCCATAATCTCTCACAGTTCGTTTCCCCCTCCAATTTACCCCCCTTCATTTTTCCCTTCTTACTATCTTCTTCTTCTTCTTCTTCTTTTTTTAACATATAATGTATTATTTGTTTCAGAGGTACAGGTCTGTGATTCAACAGTCTTATACAATTCACAGCGCTCACCATAGCACATACCCTCCCCAATGTCTATCACCCAGCCACCCCATCCCTCCCACCCCCCACCACTCCAGCAACCCTGTTTGTTTCCTGAGATTAAGAATTCCTCATATCAGTGAGATAATATGATACATGTCTTTCTTTGGTTGACTTATTTAGCTTAGCATAATACCCTCTACTTCCATCCACGTCATTGCAAATGGCAAATTTCGTGGGGTTTTTTTTTATGGCTGCATAATATTCCATTGTGTGTATATATATATATATATATATATATATATATATATATATACAGCACATCTTCTTCATCCATTCATCTATTGATGGACATCTTGGCTCTTTCCATAGTTTGGCTATTGGCTGCTATAAACATTGGGGTGCACGTACCCCTTTGGATCCCTACATTTGTATCTTTGGGGTAAATACCCAGTAGTGCAATTGCTGGGTCGTAGGGTAGCTCTATTTTCAACTTTTTGAAGAACCTCCAAACTGTTTTCCAGAGTGGCTGCACTAGCTTGCATTCCCACCTAGGTAAGTGAGTGGCTGATCCAGAGACTAAGATAAATGGAAAGGGGAGTTCCAGGAAGTTCTGTGTTCCCTCACACAGATGACTATTTTAGCATCCTGTCCTCTTTCTTCCTTCAACTCCCCTTTCCATTTATCTTAGTCTCTGGATCAGCCACTCACTTACCTAGAACTTGTCATTACTAACAACTACAAGTCTTTATCATCTCATTCCAGGCATCTAACTATCTGACCAACCCCTCAAATATTTTGGACCAATACCCTTCCTTCTAGCAGGACCATATAAGATACAAATACCTTAACCCCCTTTTCACTGCTAGTCCTTATCCACTGCTTTCCTATGCTGATCCAGCTTAAATCTAATGGTCAACAAATGTAATCACTCTATTACCTATGCCTTCAAACCCCTGCCCCTCCCTCACTTGTGCTTCCTTGGTAAAACAGCACCTGCAGTTAAACTCACCTTTCCACTGACGGTATACCGGAACCCGGCAGAAAGAAGGACATGCAGTTCACTTACAGATTTTACCTCATGTTTGTGCCCGTCGACCTCAGCTGAGTGAAGCTAATCATGCCTCAGCAGTCATGCTTCATCTCCTTATTCAGTTCATTTTCCCACTCTCCAAGAACAAAAACCTTCACTTGATCTCAGTTTCCCTGCCAGCTACTATTCTTTTCTCAAATTCTTTTCTGTCCCATTTTCTCTTAAACCCATTCCCATCAGGCCATCACTTCAACCATTCTCATTTTCGTATAAATAAATCCAGTGATCAAGTCTCAACCCACATCTTACTTGACCTATTAGCAGCGTGTTTCTCATTTCCTTCTCATATGTATGTTCTCCACTTGAATTCCAGAATTCTATATCCTCTTGGTTTTTCTTTTATTTCATTTGTTGCTCCTTCTCAATCTCTTCCTCTTCCTGATCCTTTATTATCATAGTGCCTAAGGGTACAATTCATAATCCTCTTCTTTTCCCAGCCTGCATGCATTTCTTTGATGAAACATTCTGTCTCACAGTTATAAAACCACATCTGTGCTAAATCCAAAGTTCACCTTCCAGTCCATTCTTCTCTCCCACATGACTATTTTGTGTCTCTGCTTGGAAGTCTCATAGACATCTCAGGCTTGATAGGTCTAAAATGAGCTCCTGAACATCCCCCGCCCCTCCTAAAATCCTGATCTATCTACAGGTCTTCCCCATCTCCAGTTACTGATCCTACATTTCAATAGTTGCAAAGGATGTAATTTTTGACGTATTGCTAATGGTCCATTTAAACCACTTTTTAGCATATATCCGTAGAACTTAAATATGGAAATTTGATACCCACCATCATTCATTAAAAAAAATGAGTTATATGAAGAAATTCTTCTTCCACACTTGAAATTTTACATCATTTATTTTTCTCCTTCATCTAAAATTTCCATCCCATTTTCCCCACTTAAATTTTTCCTGAAGTAAATATTTTACCTTTGGGAGTCTCTTGTTTGTTCATTTTAAGTTTGCTGCAACAAATATAAGTATACACATTGAAATGTTTTTATTTCCCTTAACCAGAACAGTCTAAGCCTTAAACTTTTTCTTCTGTTTTGAGTTTTTTTAAACAATTGTACAAGTATATAATTGATAAAGCATCATGACTGTGTTACAAAATTTGACAATTACCAAACATAAAAAAATAAACTCATCATAAGTTCGTCAGTTAATGAGATGGACAGAGGGGCTTTAAATATATTTTCTTTATTAATAGATGAACAAGAATTATTTCCAGAATGAGTTGGCTCAACTTCAGCTATATTCCTCTCTTGTTTTTATATGGTAGTATAAATTCAGCTTCTTCAGATAAATAAATAGATTGGAATAGAAAGATTATCATTTAAGCAGATTTAATCTTTTTTGGACTCCTGAATACTGTCTCCAAATTATAGTAATGTATCATAAAAAGAGTGTTTAATGGTCCATTGGCTAACAGTCCTTTTAGTTCTTCACTTTTGTTGACCTCAGAGAATTGGCAGCCGTGTAACTTGCAAAAGCATTTGTTACTAGAATGAAAAGAGCCGTTCGCTTTCTCAGTTCTGATAACAATATTTTGAATGCCCTCCTCCTTTTTCTTGTCCACCTCCTCCTTTTTCCTTGGTCTTCTGGAAGTTTGCTGTCTGTCTCAATCTGATAACATAAAAGAAGGGCAATTAGGAAGGGGTAGTGGAGAGGAAACTTTGCACCACTATCATAGACCTTTTCTCATCTGTAGCAAACTTTGCAAGTGGAGAAAAAGCACATTAAATTATCTTTTACTCTTTGTAAAGTTTGAAGATATATCAAGGTAGACCTATCAATTTGAAGGTAAGCATTCTATATTATCATCATAAAGCCAGTTACTATAAAATTCTTCACACTTAAGTTATAATGAAGGCCACAGGATTTTTCAACAATCAATGCATTGTTTTGAAGCCCGCAAGTAATGATCGTTTTAATTTAATTTAATTTTTCTTCTAAGTGAAGCTATTCTGTTCTCCAAGGTTAAAAAGTCATAATGATATTTTGGCTTAAAATTGAATTAAATATATCATTTCTGTTTAAGAGTATTGATATATTTGTCATACTGAGTCTTCCCAATCAGGAGCATGATATGTCGCTCTGTTTACCAAGGTTTTTTTAATGTTATTTAGTAAAGTTTTGCACATATTTTCAGATAGAGGTCCTGCACATTTCCTGGAAATTATTCCTAGATATATTGGATTTTTATAGTTATATTGTGAATTTTAACACAGGTGAATAGCAGGACATGGTGCTAAGATGCAGGTAATACATAAAATACTTTTACGTATAACCATGGGAGGGACAGAGGACCATCTGGAATAACAAGTCTGTTTGTCACTGGGCAAATAAAAAGTGTTCTACATAATTCTATTGATTTGTTTTTCCATAGGAAAGGAGAAAAGAATTTGAACAAAATCTCAGAAAAACAGGTCTTGAGTTGGAAGTTGAAGACAAAAGGGTAAGTATAGTTGTTAATTTGTACCAGAGTCTTGGTGTTTGAAGCATTGTTTTCTTCTGCTATGGACCTTGACCAAATAGACTTCGTGTTTGGGAGCAATACAGTAGTTTTGTTGGCCACAGATATGTAGATGGTAGGGCCTGTGGTCTTCCTGGTAAATAAGCAGGTCAGTGCTCTGAATATAAGATGATGAGTTAAACATTGTAAAAACAGACATACATAATTCTATTCAGGGTCCAAAGAAAGTGAAGACACAGGTCTTGTTTCATATCTCTCATTCTGAAGGCTGCTGTAATCTGACACTCTAGTTAACCTGGCTGTCTTAGAGCACAACCCACTATGGGTAAGCCAAGTTGACTTTCTCTGCTCATGAATATGGCAAATTCTTTTATTTATTTTTTTAAATCTCTTGCCATCCACTGGTTTTCTAGAATTTCCTTCAAAATGGTTTTTAAAGACCTATTTCGGATCCCACTTTGTCCATGAAACTCCAGTATTCTCTAGTTCTTATTTATCTGTTTTTACCGAACTAATAAATATGTGTTACAATCTATAACTTGGTCATTCTTCGGTGTCATGAACCCCTATTAAAGTTCTTCTTTCTAGGTATAGGCCATGGGTAAGAAGAGTAAGTATGTCTTATCCTTTGTATGTGTCCCTCATATATCCTAAGCACAGTTCTGAGCTCATGGTTAGTCACTAATAACTTAAGAGATTGCCCAGAATCCTATATGTATCTGTAGATTCTTGGCTTGTGTACATTGACTCTGAAATATATTTTTTAGAATATTCTTTCTTTGTCTCTGTCACATACACACACACATACACACAACATTTACACATATACATACATGTATATGTAAGTGTAATACATAGATATATGTTTTGAGCATTTGTTCCTCTAGAAGTTTTGCTGAAAAATGTCAATAAATTGTAACTGCTGTAACATCTTTAATTTGTTTGAGTTTTATAAAACTTTGTTTCTTTGGTCAGTTTGGTAACAAATAAATCATAATGCTTCCTGTTATTTTGCCTCCTTTTTCTACAGAACTCTGAAGATGGAAGGACTTATTTTGTCAAGATCCATGCCCCTTGGGAGGTACTAGTTACTTACGCTGAAGTGCTGGGAATCAAAATGCCTATTAAGGAGAGTGATATTCCTCCAGCTGAGAATATCCCCTATATGCTTGGGCCTCTGAAGCTCCCAAAGAATGTGAGGCACCCTCATCCTGAATATTTCACTGCCCAATTCACCAGACATCGGCAGGAACTCTTCCTCATTGAAGACGAGTCAAGCTTCTTTCCATCCTCATCAAGAAACAGAATTGTAGGTAGAGAAGACCTTTGGTCACATCCCTTCAACTGAGGCATACGTGTCTGTGTGTGCTTGTGTACGTGTGTGTATACGTGTGTGGTACGATGTCTGCACAGTGTGTCTGCATGCATTTTGATAAGTGTTTGGTGGGATTGAGTGGGTTCAAAAGTCCACCTGGACCATTTAAACCTGTTCACCTACTGACTTATCAAACTTGTTTAAACACAAAAGTTTGACAGTGTGGACACAGTTAAGATAGAGGCTTCATGTAATACTGGGACAAGCTCTTAATTGAGAGCCAGGGCTTAGGTTTTATTCGTTCTTTGTAAAATGGCTTTAGAGTTTGGTTTTATGAATACACTGCATAGCAGGAAGAATATTGGTCATTCCAAATGAAAATGGAATTTTAAAATTTCTTTATATATAGGTAGCGTTTGAGAAACCTCAAAACTTTTTCCTCTCATTTAAAACCATTTTCAGTCCTGAATAATAATATTTCCTCTCTATTTGTAGTCCTAGAATCTTTATGTTTCCCATTAAAAGCCTCTCTCCTAAAGAATCATGCTTCCCCTACCACTGTTTCCTCATGTTAAGGTAGGAATAAAGTCTACCTCATAGGTTACTCTGAGAATGAAGTGAGTTAAGGTATGAAAGACTTTGATACCTGAATATACTAGGTGCTCAATAAGTGTTAGGTATTACTGTCAAAATCAAATGAAAGACTCTGTGTGAAGCACTTTGCAAACTGTAGAGTACTTTAGATAGACTTGTTATGTTAAAAAGTAGCTAGCAAAAGTCCAGGGAACTAGGAGGAGCAAATTAGGAACTCGATCAGGTATAGAAATATTAGTATCCATTTCTCTTTACTTGTTCTGTGTAAAGAGTGTGGATACCTTAGATTAAGTCAGCTTTAAAACAGCAGTTTTTCCTCCTTCAGTGGAGCAGAACTATTTTTGCTCTGTTGAAGAAGTTATTTGGGAGATTAATGTGGAAGAGTTCCTTCCTTCCTATCCTCATCCAGGACACTCAAGTTTATGTATGTACACATTGAAAGTATTCCAAAAGCCTCTTACATTGGTATTGAATTTCATACTTCTCAAAGCATCTTCACAACCATCATGACATTTGAGCCTCGTGATGTATATTTTATAACATCTAGCATGTATATATATTCCCAATTCTAACAGCTATTGAGTTTATTCCCAACTTTTCTGATTTACAAACAATTCTGTAGTTTTCAACCTGGTATTTACATATTTCAGTGTATATGTAAATTTTTCTGCAAAATTGATACCAGATACAAAATTACTGGATCTAAGGGCACACACATTTAAAATTTTATATTGCACTATCACTCTTTACAAAAAGATGTACTAATTTGAGTCCTAGTAACAACATATGAGAGTGCTCCATGTTCTACATCTTTCTCGACATTGGAATTTACCAATCTTTCTTTTTCTTTCTTTTTTAATTGTGGCATAATATGAATAGAGGTAGGCCCCCAGGTTGCAAGCAAACAGCTTACTGAATCGTCACAAAGCAAATGCAGCCATGTAACTGCCACCCACATCAAGGAGAAAAACTTGTTCACCCTCCAGAAGTCCTACTAACTTCCCAGTTACTATTCCCATTGTCCTCAGCAGAAGTTGACTTTTAAATTTTATAAAAGTGGAATCATGCAGTATATATTCTTTTGAGTCTGGCTTCTTTGGTTCAACACTTATTTGGGTGATTTAGCTCTTGTATGAGTTTTTGTGCATTCATTTTCATTACTTCGTATTGAAATTTATTTGTGTGTCATTATGGTTTTAATTTGCATTTCTCTGATATGTGTTTGGATGCTTTTATTGCTTATTTACATAGGCACTTTTGTGAAGTCCCTGCTAAAGTCTCTTGTCTATTTCTCAATTAGGTCTTTCCTGGTTGATTGGTAGAAATCGTTGATATATTCCTTATATGAGCCCTTTGTTTATCATATACGTTACTGATCTTTTCCTACCTGTGCTTCCTTTTTCTTTATTTTAATGGCTTCTTTTGCTAAACAGATGTTTTTAATTTTAATGTAGTCCAGTTTCTCAAGCCTTTTCTTTATGAATCATGCTCTTAATCTTTTAACTACCACCATGACCATGACGTCAATTTCCTATGTTATTTTTTTGAAGTTGTATTATTTTATTTTCCACATTGAAACCTAGCGTCCACCTGGAATTCATTTTTGTGCATGGTGCAATTTCCCACCGTATGTGTGGTCATTCATTCAGTTTGTAGCAATTATTGAAAACATTCAACTTTTCATACCGTTTTTCAGTTCCACCTTTGTTATAACTCAAGTTTCTATATATTCATAGGTCTACTTCTGGGCCCAGTTCTGCAGCTTTGATCTTTTGTCTCCTTTTGTATCGATACTGACAACGTTGAACCTTACTTGAGTTCTGTAGTCCTAGAAAACAGGGACCGTTAAGGAAATCCCTCATTCCTCATTCTGGTGAACTGCTTCCTTTAAAGGATCACCCTAGCCCCTATGAGTATTCATAGATAACCACTGCCCCCATCTCCCAGTTTGACTTGACAGCACCGCTTGCCACATAATTCATCCTAAATTCGCCTGGCGATTGAAGTGTCCATCTATGGTAGTTGTCTTTATACCAAGAAAAAATTAAGCTTCTCATATCTCTATGCCAAACAAGTAGTTACAAGTTGGAGTCAGGTGCCCAGGCTACTTTCCCATAGAAACAGGGAGGGATGCTATCTTGCTTGATGTTTACATTTAAAAGGGATGGCTCCTAGAAAACTTAAGGAAAACACTCCTGGGTTGTAAAACTGTCAAGAGGCTTATTTAGCTTTGCTACAGATTTATATAAGTCTCAAAGGGATAGAGAAAGAGCTTATAATTACAAGCTCTCTAAAGGAAATGCTCCAAGAACAGAGAGGTCGGGGAGGAAGTCTCTTTCCCTTTTGGCACCAGGGAAATTTCAGTTCTTTTAGATTTATAATTAGCCTTGTAATTTCTCCCTTTTGTAATTAGTTTGTAGTAATAAGAGTCAAACATAGACCCTCCATATTCTCACTCTTGGTCTGATAAATGACTAGCTGAACTATTTATCCCCACTGATCATCAAAACAAAGTATTTATTAGCTGAATTGACCGAACATTAATTAAACTTTCCTCCCACAGAAACCTAAACTTTGATGTACCCTTAACCCAAGCCAACACTGGCATGTATAATAGCCCTTCCTTACCGCAAAGAAGGACACTCCCTGACCCTGGCTTGCCTCTCCCAAATGAATAAGTGAATGAGTGAATGAATGAATAAATGAATGAATAAAAAGAAAAGTCTCTTTTTGCCAGACTTTCCAGATGTTCACAGGGCTCCCTATTACAAGTTTCCCTCCCCCTCTTGTAATAATCTTTTCATATAATGTCTTTCCTAAGTCCAGATCTATTTATTTTTTTTGACAATAACATGCTGTATTTTTTTTTTTCACCATGGCTTCATAATAAGTCTCAATATCTGGTGGAGTAAAATTTTCCACTTTGTTAATACCCTAGGACAGAGTTCTAATTTTGGTGAATCTTTCCTAAAGAAATAATCCAAAGTATGTAAAATAATTAATATCTATCATATTATTTGTAAAAATTAAAACTGCTTTCATAAATTATGATGTATTTACCAACATAAAATAGTAAGATGCACTTAAATGAGTAACCAGATTAGCTAATGGTGATTCGAGAACAACCAGCACTCCAACCAACAATTCTTTAACTTAGGAGATGTGAGAAGGGGGGCGGGGAGGGAAATAGATTGAAAACGGTGCTGAAAAGACCAAATTCATCAGAAAAGCAGAAATTCTGAAAAGGTGCTGGAAAACAAAGTACAGATAGTATTGAACTGGCAGAAATATGAGAGCAGAGAACACCAAAGCCAAAATTATATGGAGGAAAACACTGATGCAAAGATACAGATGAATGCAAAGTAGTTGTAGAGATATGGTAATCTTGTGTTAATAAATTCAGATGTCAGGAAGAGGCCCTGTATAAATCCTCAGTGTAACTGAAGTAATCAGCGTAGCTGAGTATCAATTCTATCCCATATTCCCACAGCTGAACTGTTAGTGGTGATATTACACTCCCAACTTGAACGCCTGATTGTAGGAATTTTGGCACAAGACTTCCAGAGGAGCTTGGGACAGGAGAAGCAAAATAAATCATGATCCATTCCTGCCTCTTCCCAAGGGAATAGAGAGCTCCCATACCCAGGAGCTAAACTACCTGCAAACTCCATACAAGCTTATCCTCTACATCTTCCCTCAAACAACAGAGGGAAGGTTCCTTCTGTAATCAGAGCCTGTATCTACATTCAGACAAAGTTGGACATTGTTAAATTGCGATGGGAAAAAAATGTGGATAGCATAAAGTTCTGAAATGTGTGTCTAATGCTTACCTCATAGGTTTATTATATTCTCTCACGGTGTCCTTTTGGCATAGAAGATGGGAAGAAAAAGTTTGGGATTGAAAGACTGCTAACTTCTAATACTTACTCATCTGCCTATCCACTCCATGATGTAAGTATAAGCTTGGTTTTGAAATACTGAGCCCATTTTCCCTCTGACATTCAGAGGTTGCCTTGTTGGGAGAGAGAATCTTCCCTTTGCTTCCTTTTTTATGACAGGTTACTTAATTCTTTCTCATGTTGGGAAAATCCCCCAAAGACTCCCTAGTTCCCAGCTGAGAAACTTACTAGCTATGCTGAAACACATGGTTAACTTTACACTGTGGTTTCAATGGAAATTTATTTTTAAAAGATATTACATTTGTATGTGAATTTTCTTTAGAACCCATATTGAAAAATAGCAGTTTTATTAAAAAAAAAACAACAACAACACTGCAGAGTAGAATATTTGGAAATTTCTATCTGAACCCATCAGATCTTTTCTCATTTATGAAGTTTTGGCTTAAATTATATGCATTTATGTATTCGTTCATTAGATACATGATTGGTTTTAAGTACGTGCATACCTCCTTTTCTTGTGCCTTGCTTTATGACACATTGCAGATATTGGGTTTTTTTTTTTTACAAATTGAAGGTTTCTGGCAATCCTGTGTCATGGAAGTCCATTGGCACCATTTTTCCAACAGCATTTGCTTACTTCATGTCTCATTAAAATGAATTTTTTTGGTTTCCCACTGCATATATAAATTGTTTACACTAAGCTGTAATCTATTCAGTGTGCAAGAGGTTATGCCTAAAAACGGTACATACCTTAATTAAAAAGTACTTTATTGCTAAAAAATGCTAACCATCCTCTGAGCCTTCAGCGAGTTGCAGTCTTTTTGCTGGTGGAGGGTCTTGCCTCCAGATGGCTGGGGACTGATCAGGGTGGTGATTGCTGAAGGTTGGGGTGGCCATAGCAATATGTTGAAATAAGAAAATGAAGTTTGTCATATCGATTTGACTCTTCCTTTCACAAATGATTTCTCTGTACAGAGAGATGCTTTTTGATGAACAAGGTCTGTTCCTTACTGTCTAGTTGATTATCTTTGATATGTTTTCTATAAAAGTACAGCAGAATTTTCCAGAATGGGTGGCAGTTTTTAACAGGAGTATCAATTCAGGTGAAATTAACTTCAGTGTTAGAGAAACCATCCTCCTTCCCCAAGCCCCTCCCTCCCTCCACACACATTTGGCAGAAGAACTAATAGGGGATTAAAGATTCAATATAATGCCATGGTCATTTGGTAGAGAGATATATAGTGGGTTAATAAACACTATACAGTGCATTCTCTGTCAGTCTTTCTTCACAGAAGGGCTCATTCCGTTTTAGAAGATTTTGAGGTTTGGTTTGTTTTTAGGGCATTAATTCTCTTCTTACTATTACCAGGTCATTAAGCCAAATTAATATCCTCAGTCACCAGCAAGTTTAATCTGTACATCCAGCCTTCCAGCAGAGTCATTTATGATCACTAGAAGATCAGTGGTACTTAGCTGTTGTGAGAGATAGTTATAACTTACTGTTAGTTTTACTTTTTTTTTCTTTTTTTTTTTTTCCCATCCTGAATGCAAGGTTAGGTACTGGATTTTCCCTTCTGTGAATTAAAGAATCATTTTTCAAGATACCCAAATAGGCTGCCTTTTTATTTATTTCAATTTTCTTATTTATTTATTTATTTATTTATTTATTTCAATTTTCAAGATTCAGGAGGATTAGCTACAGAAGAAGAAAAAAGTTGGAATCTAGGTGATATAAAATCTTATACCTTATCATATCGAGATTTTCACATGTGCTTAATTTTCAATTGGATATTTATTCATGTTGTCTTTGGCAGTTCACTTGTCTGGGCAAACAGTTAAAAGAATGTGTTGAACTACCATGTGTAGATAGTACTCTGCTATGTCCCAAAGGGATATTATTAATAAGGCAACTCAGTATGTAACAATGGGGAAAATGCATGAAACAGTACTGAGGTTCTTTGGTGCTAACATTTGTGATGCATGTTTTAAATTTTCTGGGAAATTGTGTCAGTGATTACCAGTGAGGGCCAGACAAGTCTGGAAGAGATTCCTGTCATAGTAGTGTGACTTTGGATCATTCACTGAACTTTGCTTGAGTATAATTTTTCCATCTATAAAATAAAAGTGTATTTCTAAAGTCCCAGCCAGTTATACTGTTAACATGAATCCCTGAGCTGTGAATAATCTGGTAGAATTTGAGTAGAGAAGAAAGGGCATTCCACAGGAAAGAGCAGCTAGAGTAAAGCCAGAGTCTCAAACTTTAACTTGTATTTTTAACTAACTGGGTGGGGGGGATCTTAATGATTATCACTATTGTTATAGTTTATTATAGATTTTAGGAGATAATTATACATCAGTGGAATATGAAAATTCAAATCAAAAGTAAAAGAACAATTTGCTTCATTCACTAACCTTATAAAATTTGTGTTTATTTACTGCACCCCTGTCTTTTGCTTTGTCATTCAAATACTTTCTTTTTGAATATCTGTAGGGTCAGTATTGGAAGCCTTCAGAACCTCCCAATCCTGTCAACGAGAGGTACATACTTTGCCAGAATTGGGCCCGCTTTTCCTATTTTTACAAGGAGCAGCCTTTAGATTTGGTTAGGTAAGTTCCTTACATAGTATCAAACTGATTAAAACTTGATGATGTGATTTTTATTCACAATGGCATCGCATTCCCTTTCTTTTACCACTGTTTTCATCCACAACATGTTACATCTTCCTAGTTTTGTATCCACACTATCATTTAGTCATTCATTTGTGAATTAGAATGCTGTTGCCAGAATACTTTTAACTACCATGCAGAGGTAGCTCGGTAGTTGGTATTTAGGTAGGCTGGGTTCAGATCCAAGTTCTTCCTCTTAGAAGCTACATAAACTTGGTCAAATTATTTAACCTCTATGAGGCTCCTCTGTAAAATGGGAATAACAATGGTGCTTTCCTTATGGGTCTGTTTAATAATGAAATGAGACATGTCTATATTTTTAGCATAGGGGCTAGCACTTAGTGCTTCATACATATTAGTTTTGTTTTTCTGAGTCCGGGGATTTAGAAACTAGCAGAAAGCTTGTGCACAGAGGTCTGTGTGCATGCATGTGTGTGTGCGTGTAGATCTCAGAGATCCGTGAAGGCACGTGTTCCATGACCTCAATTCTTTAGACAGTTTCATTGGCTAAGCAAGAAGCCTGCCGTTGCAGGTTCCTGCTTTGAACCCTGACAACGCCCCATACATACAGGATGTCAGGAGACTCGTGCCAGGATTTCAGTAAAGGAACAATCAGATGAGACCCTTGGTTGCTCCACACCTGGTGTTTCACTTGGGGATTTATGCTGGTAATGCTATGCTTGCACAGCATCACAGTGTCCTTTTTATGAGGCTGATGTCCCCAAATCAGTAGAACAGTTATCTCAAAGGTTTTGTTTAAGGCAAGTAAGTGGAGATTTTTAAGAATAAATGAAAGGCAGGTAGCATAGATAACCTGGTACTTTCTGTAAATCATTATATGAACTCTTTGTTGGATAGATGTCTTAATTGTTTTGGATAATGGTCATTTAACAATTCAAATAGTGAAGAGACTTGCAAAATGTTAAGTGAAATTCTACCTCTGTCGAACTTGGCAGAAGTAATTGCCCTTGATTTGGTATATCTATTCAGTTCTATTTTTATGTGCATGTGTAATGAAATGCATACACAATCATATTTTTTCCTTAGAAAAAACAATGGCATCTTTATTTACTTTTTTGCTGTCATTTTCTTTTTCGCTAAATAATATATTATTGGTACTCCTCCTGTGAATACACACAGATCTATCTCAAGTTTTTTAACAGAACACAGAGTGCCATATTATAAATGTTGCAAAATTCATTTATCTCTTTTTCTGTCAGAAAACAGGCTGTCCCAGATTTTTCACTGTTACAAACCTGCTGCTAAGGACATTTGCAGACATTGGGCCCTTGGAGAATGTTTTCATAGCATATTTTTAAAGAAGCATAGTCATCAGAATGAACGTTTACATAGTTTATATTGCTCAAAATATATTGAAAGTATATATGCATTTAAAATTTTTAAACTATCAACAGGTGTTTCTACTACAAGTATTCTCCAAAGATTTGTATTTATGACCTTGGGTATATACAAACACATTACATCTTGGGTCAGTGGAGGTTATATCTGTAATACTTTGTTAGCCCTTGCAAATTTCCTTTTACAACAAAATGGAAACTCAGATATTTAATCAGGTGACAGTGCCTAGCATAAATTTAATAATTTTTAAAAGTTTTTCATCTTCTTACTATAATAACTTCCCATTTATAGCAAGCTATACTGCTTTTTCATTTCAATAGTAAAATGATATTTTTAAATAAATGTAAAATTTTAACCAAGTTTAATGTAAAGAACTTAGGTGAAATATTTAATGTAATATTTAATAAATATTTAATGTAAATAACTTAGGTGAAAATTTTTTTAAAAGTTAACTTAAAAGGCAAAAAAGAAAACACTATGTTATCACAGAAGTAGCAACTGCAGAAAACAACTATTAGTTCTAGGGTTTCTTTTTAGTGTTTATGTAAGATAATATTCTTTTTCTAGGAACAGACAATGAAGTATTTAGGGATAAAGGACCATGACATATTCAACCAACTTACTTTCAAATGGCTCATCAAAAGATATCTCCATCTATATTTATATCTCTATATGTCTATATCTATATTGTCCAAAGATAGATATCGATATATAGATACAGGTATATAGATAGATAGACATATATATCTCTTCATATATATATATATGACATATATATATATGAAGAGAAAGAGGGAGTTATATGAAGAGAGAGAAAGTACAAATGGAAAAATATTTTTGCAATAAAAGAATTAAGGAGTATATGGAAGTTATCTAAATTATTCTTACAACTTTTTCTATATATATGAAATTATGAACAAATGGAGACTTTAATAAAAGGAGAGTACAGAAGCAGATCCACACATATGTGGTCAATTGATTTTCAACAAAGGTACCTGGTTATTCACTGGGGAAAGGATAGTCCTTTAAACAAATGATGTTGGAGCAAATGGAAATCCATATGCAAAACACTAATCTTGATCCTATACAAAAATTTAAACTAACTTGAAATGGATCAGGGAACTTAGTGTAATGGCTAAACCTATAAAACTTCTAGAAGAACGTTTAGCAGAAAAATTTATATGGCCTGGGGTTTGGCATGGACCTTTCAGGAAAGACACAAAAAGTACAATTTAAATATATATAAATTTGACTTCATAATAATAAAGTCTGCTCTTTAAAAGACACTGTTATAAAAGCAAAAAGGCAAACCACAGGCTGGAGAAAATACTGGCAACACACATATGGACAAAAGACATTTAGAATATTTTAAGGAACTCTTAAAATTCAGTAATAAGACAAAATCATTAAAAATGGACAAAAGATTATAACAGATACTTCACCAAAGAAAGTATTTATGGATGGCCAGTTAGTAATCAAAAAATACATAGCATCTGTATTCACTAGAGGAATAAAAATTAAAACGTCTGTCATTGAGATGCTACTACACCACCCACTATTATAGCTAAAATCTAAAAAATTGACAGCAGTAAGTGCTGACAGGGATCTGGAGCAACTTGAAATCTCTAAGTGCTGCTGGAATGCAAAATGGTGGAGAAACTATAAAAAATTTTAGTTTCTTATCAAGTTAAATATGCATTCTTTTTTTTTTTTAAGATTTTATTTACTTATTAAAGAGAGAGGGAACACAAGCAGGGGGAGTGGGAGAGGGAGAAGCAGGCTTCCTGTGGAGCAGGGAGCCCGACACAGGGCTCAATCCCAGGACCCTGGGATCATGACCCGAGCTGAAGGCAGACCCTTAACGACTGAGCCACCCAGGCCCCCCAAATATGTACTTTTTTACGACCCAGCCATTCCCCTACTAAGTCTTTACCCAGGAAAAATGCAGCATATGTCCACAAAAACACCATTATTTGAATGTTCATAGCTTAACTCATAAGAAAAACCTGGAAGCAACCCAAAAGTCCATCAATTGATAAATGGATAAACAATCGTGTATACACACAATGGATATTTTTCTCTGAGATAAATTACTGATACACGCAACATCAAAGGATGAATCTTTAAAGCACTTTGCTAAGGAAAAGAAGCAGGCCACAAAATGTTGCATAGTCCTATGTTTTCATTTATAAAACATTATTCTGGAAGAGGCAAAACTATAGGGACCAAAATTAAAGTAGTAGTTGCCCAGATCTTGGTATTGGGGAAGGGGTTAACTGCAAGGGTCTCAAGGGAACTTTTTGAGATGGAAATGCTCTGTATGGTTGATTGTGGTGGTGGTTATATTGCAGGGTTGTGGGGTTGCAGGGTTCTTGCCTCATGGAGTTGAAGTATAAATCTTGTGGAAAATAGGGTGAACCGAGAGTTTATTAATGGAAGTTGAGAACAGAAAGGAAAGCTCCCTAGACAGGGGTTCCGAATGGGTTGCCACTGAGGACTTTTATGGTCGGTCTTTTATAAAAAACTGACCAGGGAACTTGGCAAATATCTTGTCTGTAACATTTAAGACAAACAAGGTAGATTTGAAAATATTATGAAAATATCTTGTCTATATTTAGAACAAACAAAGTGGATTTGTTATGTTTTCTTCTCTCTAGTTAATATCTTGTGTATAACATTTTTCCACATCTGGAATTTCTTTTCTTTTCTTTTTTTTTTTTTTTTAAGATTTTATTTGTTTGAGAGCAAGAGAGAGCATGAGGGGGGAGGCAGAGGGAGAGAGAGAAGCAGACTCCCTGCTGAGCAGGGAGCCTGATGTGGGGCTCCATCCCAGGACCCTGAGATCATGACCTGAGCTGAAGGCAGACACTTAACTGACTGAGCCACCCAGGTGCTCCAACACATCTGGGATTTCTGTGAGCCTGGTCATGTAACCCCCTACCTAGCTTCGCCTGTCTCTTACTTAGTTACAAGAGTGCATGCATTTGAACTTATCAAATTATACACTTAGGTATATTTTATTATATATGAATTACACCCCAATCAATTTGTATAAAAAAACAAACAAACAAACAAACCCACTCCTCTTAGAGGATTAACTTTCTGGGATAGAGGGTAAGATGGGTTTAGTGAAGAAACTCAGAGGGGGAAGGGGGAATTCCTTCTTGGAGAAATGAACACCACTGGCGTGGAGGAGCTGCAATCCTTACACAGTGACCTGGACAAAGTGTTGAAAGCGGTTCCCCAGGGGTGCCTGGATGGCTCAGTTGGTTAAGCTTCTGCCTTCGGCTCATGTCACGATCCCAGGATCCTGGGATCGAGCCCCGCATCGGGCTCCCTGCTCGGCAGGAAGCCTGCTTCTCCCTCTCCCACTCCCCCTGCTTGTGTTCCCTCTCTCGCTGTCTCTCTCTGTCAAATAAATAAATAAAATCTTAAAAAAAAAAAAAAAAAGAAAGCTGTTCCCCAAAGATATTCCTAGTACAAGTGAGACATGTCTGGGGACTCCCCAGGATGCCTGGAAGGAAATGACGCCGGAGATGGGGGGCAAGGCCTGTAGTTGTGCAGGTAGGAAGTGGCAATTG